CCCTAGCCCCCTCTCTTGGCACTGAGATGAGGGGGGGTGGTTACCGCGGTGACACCTACTCTCTCTCAAAGCCCAAGCCACAAGCTGCTTACCGCAACACCTGTTACTATGAGAGGTGTGTGTCCAGCAGTGGTAGCTCAGAGGTGTGTGTGTGTGTGTGTGTGTGTGTGTATGTGTGTGTAGGTGCCAGCCATAGTTTTACCTATATCAATTATCCTGTTAGTAATGTGACTGCTTAGTCTACTTAGAAACAAAGATCATTTGGACGTTAAAGATACTTAGAATTGACTGAGCATTTGTATTCTGTGTTGAATCATGCAATGCTCATAATACACTTGATATATATATGCTGCCTTCAAGTTAGTTCCATTTTATAGTGACCCCATGCAAAACTGAATGAAACACTGCCCAGCCTGGCACCATGCTCACAGTTGCCCCTATTTTTGAGCCCATTGTTGCAGCCACTGTGTCAGTGTATCTCTTTGAGGGTCTTCTTCTTTCTGTGACTTTGTCTCACATCTGTGGACATGTTATCAGGAGAGACATCCCCCCAAACAAACAAACAAACAAACAAACAAACACCACCATTGAGTCCATTTTTGACTCATAGCAACCCGGTAAGGTAGGGTAGGGTAGAACTACACTTCTGGGTTTCTGAGACATTGGATCTTTATGGGAGTAGAAAGCCTCATCTTTCTCCCACAGAGCAGCTGGTGGGTTTGAACTGCTGACCTGGTAGTTAGCAATCCAACACATAAATCCACTGCTCCACCAGGGAGGGCTCCTATGCAGGAGAGACCAGTCCCTGGCAAAGGACATTATGCTTGGTGAAATAGAAGGGCACTTACATGGCACAATTTATATCCTTGTCATACAGTTAAAGATCTTCGTAGATCTCAGAGATCTTGTCCAAGCAAATAGGCCCACTGTTAACAAGTGGAGGATCGGGGGCTTACACCCAGCAGCCTCACTCCAGAGGCTGAGTCTGCACCAGCAGACCACTGACCGGCCCGTCTGTAACCCAGCCTCGGAGCTGATGGTTTCTGACAGGCCGCCCTTTCTGTGTGTTTCAGGTTTTGCTGGTCTTCTCGAAGGAAGACAGTCAGAGCGATGGGTTCTGGTGGGCCTGTGACAGGGCTGGCTACAGATGCAGCATCTCGCGGACCCCGGAGTCAGCCCTCGAGTGCTTTTTAGATAAGCACCATGAAATCATTGTCATCGATCACAGGCAAACTCGAAACTTTGATGCAGAAGCCGTGTGCAGGTACTGTACTGATTTCGTGAGCTTAACCAACATCCGCTTCACAGTGGAAGATGAACTTCCGTCACAGGTGTTTCCCTTCCTCCCAGGTTCTCACAAACACGTGTTGGCATCACCAAGCAGTAGCTACAGCGTTCTGGGGTGAAAGCTGTAACTCTCTTGCTTGGTCTCCATTTCCACATTTGGGCGGTGCTGTCTTAGAAAGCATATGCTAGACTCCACAGGAAGCTTCAGGGGTGTCCCGCCCCCCCGCCCCCCACAGGGTTGCTCATATTCCAAGAACAGCATTAAAATCATCCACGCAGTTCTTATTCCGTAGATTCCGTAGGTTTGGATTGAAACCAAATATCTTAATCATTATTCTGTCCCAAAATGAACATCAGCAATGTGTGCAAGAAAAACGATTCCGTCCTTGACACAGATGGTTAGTTCCTACAGCAGCTTCCCAGGCCTGGAGCAAAGGCAGCCGCTGGGCAGGGGCAGAGCGTCTTCCAGGGACCGGCCCCTCTTGTTCACCATGTTCTTGTGCTCGGGAGGGAAAGCGCGCCTGCGCATGAGGAAACGCGCCGCCGTGTAAGCGTGCGTGCTGGGGAGCTGGTGCCTTTAGCTTCGAAGCAAACGAGAAAGAGGTCCCTGATTAAGTGCTAAGCCGGCGCAGCCTCCGGTGCAGATGGAGCTGGGCTCACCCGGACGGTTCCTTCCCGGAAAGTCAAAGGTGGGGAAATGGCTTCCGGGAACGGCCGGGGACCTGAGGCGAGCTGAGTGGAGGAGACAACTTGGTCCTCAGAGACGTTGCCTTTGCTCTCTGGTGGTTCTCAGTGTCCCGAACTTCTTCTCAAGAAAGAACTTCTCTTAAAGCGATGTTCCTGGTCTCCCTGAAGTTGATCTTTTGGCACTGAAGTGCCTACCTACTTAATACTGGGCCGAGTTGGGCATGAAATATTTGGGTAGCATTTTATATATGAAATCTTTTGACATGCTTTTTTGGGAGGCAAAAAATGGAGTCATTTCAGACTCATTAAGACTCCCCCACCCTCACCTCATTTTACTTTTCATACAAGATTTTGTAGCAGACAGAGCACAGTTCTTCGGATACACATGGAATGACTTGAGATAGTAAATGAGTTTTATAGCCGTCTTTTTAGCTGCGAGAAAGCCGGCGGGGCGGACAGGTGTGAGTGTCAACCAGGGCGGTGGCTGTCTGCGCTGCACGGAGAAGCAGCGGGCACCCGTGCATCCTGACGCCCGGCGGACGGAGCTGGGGGTGTCTTTGCGGAGGGTGCGTGATGAGAGCGGGATCCGCCCCGGGCAGATGCACAGTCCTTATTGCCATAGAGGCCCCAGCTCCTTGATGTGGGTGCTACCCTGGGCCTTAACATCCTGCCCCGGCTTCCTAAGGCCCCTGCCCGCCAGCCTCCTGGTTCTTTGGCCCTCTCACCGGGACCGGTGCCTGTAGAGGGATGCGGGAACGCGGTAAGCCGCAGGAGCGCAACCCCATGATGAGAACCTGCCCCCCGCGAAGCCACGAGAGCACCCCCTGACCGTTCATGTTCTCCAGGTGTCTAAGGCCTGCTCTCAGGTCCACCTCTTCCAGTGCAGCCCTTGGGGTGCAACAGGCCACCTGAAGGCGAGGCGTACTTAGTGTTCTCCTGGAGATAAGGGGGCACCCTACAGCACTGCTCCTTTTCATTGGGTGCTAATGGGTATTTCGGCTAAGTAGCTGGCGAACTCCTTACTATAAAGTAAGTGTAGATTTACCCCCGCCCCACTCAAACTCACTGCCTGCCAGTCCATTCTGACCCACAGCGACATCATGAGAGGACAGAGTGAAATGGCCCTTTCAGATTTCCAAAACTGTAACTCTTCACGGGAGTAGAAAGCCTCATCTTTCTCTCAAAAAGTGGCTGGTGCCTTTGAACTGCTGACCTTGTGGTTGGCAGTTCAACATCCTCTGGAACCCTGTAGAGCAGAGTCAGCTATCACAGTGGGTTTCTGAGACTCAATTTTTACAGGAATAAAAGCCTCATCTTTCTCCCACAGAGGACCTGGTGGTTTTGAACTGCCCTCGCAGCTAACCACCAACACGAACCCGCTGTCCTGCCAGGGGCCCTTCGATTCACCTAGGCAAGACCTGTTCTGTAGGGTGACTGGGTGGAGGCTAATCCATGCTAGCACTGGACTTTTCCCACCGCCTGCCTCCTACTCAGCTAAGGCATCCCCTCCAAAGGAGCTGGTTCCAATACCATTTATCCACATGGGAAAACGTCACTTTCGGGGAATAAATACCACGGCTGATCATTGTCTTGAGCCTTCTTCCTCATAGAGTGGGCTCTTAAGGAAGAGTTTGTTTGTTTGTTTGTTTGTTTTGAGAGAAAGAGGGGGAAGAAGTTAGGAAAACCTGGAGTTGTCCACAGTGGGGGAGCAGTGTCTCCTGGAGAAAGGCAGTATAAGCCCCCTACAGTGGGAGGAACAGAAACCAGTAGTGAACTGCCCATAGCTAGCAATAAAAACAAACACCCTTTGCTTCACAAACTGCTCCGGAGTAGCCTGAAGCTCGCCTTCAGTACCTGGAGAGGATGGTTCCTTTATGAGGGATCTCAAAATAAGCAGAGGTCAGCCCAGGGGACAGGTCGAAGCAAGATTCCTCATTTATATTAAGATGCAAGTGTGTGGCCCTTTATTAGAAATTCATCCAACTTGCGACCCCACCTTCCCTAGACAGAATAATCCAGAATCTAAGTAACATATAAGGCATCTAGGGACAGCACTACTAGGGGATTTTAAAATTGCACAGTCTAATTTATTTCAATCCTGGTCTGTTCCTCCAGGAGCCCTGGTGGCATAGTGGTTAAGCATTGGGCTGCTAACCTCGAGGTCAACAGTTCGAAACCATCATCCACTCCAAGGGAGAAAGACAAGGCGTTCTATGTGCATAAAGAGTTACAGTCTCAGAAACCCTCCGGGGCAGTTCTGTCGGGTTGCTATGAGTCTGAACTGACTTCGTGGCAGGGAGTTTGGAGTTTATATTCCGAACAAGGCGCATGCCTGGCACGGGTCAGCTGATGGAGTTACTGTGGCAAGGAGTCTGCTCACCACCTCGCAGCTCCTGCTGATGACCCAGTTTTTCTTTTCAAAATCCATCCATCCATCCATTGTGTCCAGCACATTTGTGCATCTGTTGCCATCATCATTCTCAGAACATTTGCTTTCTACTGCAGCCCTCAGTATCAGCTCCTCATTTCTCCCCTCCCTCCCAAACCCTTGATAATTTATAAATTGGTATTATTTTGTCATGTCTTACACTGTCCGATGTCTCCTTTCACCCACTTTTCTGTGATGACTCGGTGCTTTCAAAGTATTTGAGCACAAACAATGGCACAGCAGAAGGTGGACCGTGCTTCGCACGTCTGGGAGAGGCTTTAACCTGCATTTGTAGACCCAGCTGCCCGAGTGGGTTTCAATCTTTAAGATGAGCTTTCTGAACTGCCTATTATTTGACAAGGAAAAAGATCCAGCCCAATTAGTTCCCTCAAGTATACACCAATGATGAGAGGTTTGGTTTTTTTGTTTTGGTGGTGTTTTTTTTTGCAGGGTGGAGTTTCCATCAGAAACATGGAATTTAAGTGGAATATGCCAATTTTTGAAGTGGAAAATTGGCAGGTCCAACCTGTTGGATAATTGCCTGGGAGTTGTCCTAAGCCCCAAGGACATCTCTTCTCTGCTGTCCTCCCTGTGCTGTCAGACGGTTTTCCATGTAGAGAGAGTTGATTTTGTGCCACGCTGGAGGCGAGGGAGCCCCGCACTGTGTGCACCTAAGGCAGCCCGGGCTGCCTGGCTTGACATGGAGCCTTCTCGTTGCAGGTCGATCCGGGCCACGAACCCCTCGGAGCACACGGTGATCCTGGCGGTGGTTTCGCAAGCGTGAGTGCCCCCTCCGTCGCCTGTGGGCAGCATGTGCCTGATGCCATCCAGTCCCTGAGCTCGAAAAACAATGGCTCTCTCTTTGATCCTCTGATACCCGTCGTCGTGCCCCTGCACTGGGGAGTTTTGTTTGCTTCACAGATTGCTAGAAATATTTCTTCTTTGCGGTTTTGTTTTTCTCTCCATCATGTTTAATGGCTGTTAGCACTCACTCCCACACCTCGGTGAGGGTCGGGGGAGGCTGTTATCTGCTAGAAACGAATCCACAAGCTGGGGCGGAGCAGGTCTGGAGAGAAAAACATTATTCTCGTCTGTCTCCTCTGCAAAGAAAAAAATGGCACAATTGCTCGGTTCTCACAAGACAAGAGGAAAAGTGTCAGCGTGAGGACCGAGAAGGCACTAAATCCAGTGCCCGGACAGCAGTGCCCAGTTTATGTCGAGACTGTTCTGTGGCCAGGAGGATTTATGCCAACACTGGAAGGCAAAGACGAGGACTTGGGCTGTAGGTTTCATTAGACTGTAGGATATGGCACTGACTTGGCCAGGTTTCCTGTGTGAGAGGGCCAATATTTAAAATTTAAAAATCCAAGCAGCCAGGTTGGAATCTTTGCAAGTATCAACATTTGTGGCAGTCACTTAATGGCCTTTGTGAGCTTTAGAGAGACTAGACCTTAGTAAAGGCTGGAGAGCCGCACCGCTTAGCCTCACCGCGACTCGCACAGCCAAGAACTCACACAGGAAGATCTCCCCTCCGACAGGCCGGAGAGCAATCTTCACTCCCAGGCTGTCTTGGGACATGGGAATTCATGATCTGGAAGTCATGCCCTGGTCAAAGACTCCTACCTGGAGTATTTCCTTAGGACCTGTGTTACTTCACTTTGCTTGACCAAACCTTCCACTGGCTGTGATCTCAGAGACTCAAAGATAATGTCCCCATTGGCTGCTTAAGACCTCCCATCCTGGTGGGGGATAGGACACCCCAACCAGGGGAGGGGTGGGGGTGAGTGTGAGGATCTTCAATGTAAAACAGCTCTTCTGTGGTCATCTTTCTTGTATTTAATCTTCTGTGGACAATGAGATCTTTCCAAGGCTTCGAGTCCCAGACCTGGAGACCAGGCACATACTAGGGCCCCACAGCCTTCTTCCCCCAGCTTGGCTTGTTCCACAGACCACAGGATAAAACATTTTATTTTTCCCCTATTCAAAGAGAAAAAATGTTACTCAACCCTGCCAAGTAAAGGTGGCTGTGAATTGTGGTTTCTCACCCAGTTTTCAATGAAAAGACTTCATCTTTCTAAAGATTGGGAAGGAAAAGAAAGAAAAACCCTGAATTTTGGTGTCTTGTGCCACTCAGTTAATGGGATAAGGCTAGAAGATAGTTCATTCCTTTGGAACCCTCTGTGTGCCCTCCTGACTTATCACTCAGAGGTGGATGGAGCCTCGAGTTTATAAGGAAAACAGGGAGGAGTGGGAATCCCTCTTCCCCGAGGGCAGAAATCAGCTGTAGGGCCGTAGAGTCTTTTAGCTGCCCCTCTACCCAGTCACTTTTTTATGCCTCTTCTTGCCTCTTTCCCGCAGCAGGTAGACCCTGGCGGGGCCCTTCTTGTGTAGTGATTATGTGCCGGGCTGCCGTCCGCTAGGAAGGTCAGCAGTTGGAAACCACCAGCCAGCTGCTCTGTAGGAGAGAGATGGAGCCTGTCCAGAGGGAGAGGCTCAGAAACCCACAAGAGGCGGTCCTACCCGGTCCTATGGGGTCGCCATGAGACAAAATTGACTCAGTGGCAACGAAGGTTTTTGTGTTTGTTTTTTCGTAGCCCATCGTAATTGCTAGCTGTCGCAGGGGCCCTGTTTTCCCATTAACAGGGCAGCCTGGCTATTGCAGGTCTTCATGACAGGCCTGGTCCCCCTGAGGTGAACGCCAAGGACTCCTCCTTTGTCTTCTCTTTTCCTTTGTAACTGAGGAACAGCACGCCGCCCCCTGCCCTCCCCTGTCTCTGCACCTGGAAGGCCGGCGTGGGAGTCTGAAGGAAAGTGGGGTCGCCTGTTGGTCAGGACGCCATCCTTGGAGCTAGCACCGTGACTGCCTCATCATGGCTGTCGCTTGGTGTTTCAGCGTGAGGAGTCCTGGTTTGTAGCTGCTGCGTGACCACACTTTCTCCTTTGCTGCAGGTCGGGTGACCACGAAGAGGCCTCCGTCCTTCCGCTTCTCCATGCAGGATTCAACAGGGTACGTAGCTGGTGAGCCAGAGCCTTGCTGGGGGCAGACTTCTTACCCCTGACTAGTCAGTACCACAAAACCAAATTGGCATCTGTCACTGTTAAAGGAATGAAGCCCCCAGGCCGTGAGGGAGATGAATGAATCCTGTTCCATTGGGATAGCGACACGTGACTGCTGGTCAATCTTTTTTTTTTTCTCAACAGTTTTATTGGCACATAGTTTACATATCATGCAGTTCAATCATTCCATCATACCAAGGAACAGTCATGACCACGTCAGTCTTAGAGCATCCTCCCCCCTTTGAATAAATCGTCTTTAACCTGAGTTGTGCAATCACAGTCAGTTCTAGTGCTCTCTCCCCTACTGCCTTCCTTGTTTGCTCCCCCAATCCCCTTTCCCTCCCTATCCCCCCACCCCCTGCATTCCACAGAGCCCCCAGTGTCAGTCATTCTCATTATGCATCCACTCCTCCTGTGCTTCACAGCTGGGAGACCCAACAGAGAACAATAAAAACCAAAATCGTACTAAGGTGGTAAAGCAAACGTCATAATAGTGTGAAGACAAAAATACAAATGATGTGTAAGAAGGAAAAGACCCCCCTAAACACTCAAAAGGGCAGCGGAGAAATCTCTGTCATGGAACAAGTTAGAGATGCTTGCCCCCAGTGCAAATTTAGTTCGTGTCTGTAGGGGGGTCAACTCCCCGAGTGTTGTGTTTGATCCAGCATGAACAAGCTTACAGTGGTCTCTGCCTAATTATAAGGCTGTTTGAGACTCTTGCCTTTGGCTAGAGAAGATCTGCCAGTGGCTCAGTCTGACCATATCCTTCTGCAAATCGGGTGTTCATGACATTAACTCTGACGCGTTTCTCTTCCCCATACTCAGATATTGTCATTGTCATCTGTGGATCACACAGGCTGGTGTGCTTCTTCCATGTGCACTTAGTTGACTCCTCACTCAGATGGCTGCTTATTTGAATCCAAGCCTTTAAGACCCCAGACACTATTCCAATTGATAGCCGGGGCACCCTCTACTTTCTTCACCACACTTTGCTGTAGCACCCTTATCTTCAGTGGTCTTTTCATGAAGGTGTGCGTTGAGCAGGGTCATGATATAAGAACTGACTGTTCTTAAGTTAGAACTAAGATTTCATACAAGCCCCAAACCCATGCCAGGATCTATGATTTTTTTTCCCTGTACCTTGTGAGTTAATACATATGGTCAATGTTTTTTTTCCTCCCGTATTATCGTTACATATCTTTTCATTTTTTTATTGTGATTTCAGTGAATGTTTACAGAGCAACTTAGTGTTCCATCTGAGTTCATACACATTTTTTTGGTGGCATTGATTGCAGTCCACACAGTGTAAAGCATTCGTCCCAGCTCCTCCTCGTGTTGCCTGTTTCCCTTCGTCCTTCTTCCTATCCCTTCCTGCCTTCTGAACGTTGGTTGTCCCTGGGCAAATGCTGCTCTGTTGGTCTTGTATGGTTGGTTGGTCGGAAGTGTCTACCTCCCACTAGTACTACTCACTGAATAGGCCCACTCTCATAGGTTTTGTTGGTCTCTGTCTGACCAGTAAGCCTGGTCTTCTTTATGATTTTGGGGTTTGTTCCACATTTTCCTCCTACTCTACCTAGGACCTTCTATTGTGATCCCTTTCAGAGAGTTCAGTATGTAGAGCTGGGCACCATCTAATTCCTTTGGTCTCAAGGATGACTTTATACATCGTGGCTACAGATATATAGTGATACAAAAACACCTTATAGTAGATCAAAATTCTGTAGTCCCCAAGTAATTTTATTTGTGAGATAGAGAGAAAGAACAGAGAGTTTGATCATATATAAACAAAGCTATAAAAACCAACATCTGGGTGCTGTGTTTACCACTATAACTTTCTCCATAGGGATATATACAGTATGGGAGAAAGCTGAAGGTTTGAGTGGACACGTGTATGTGTGTGTATGTGCTAATATAAAGAAGATGTAATGGAATGGATTTTTAAAAGAACGATAAAAGACAAACAAAGTAAAGATGCTTAAAAGAAGGTGTTTTTATGTGGAAGTCTTTCTGTACTACAAATGTTTTGTATTTGACTAAGGTTGACAGTTGGGGCCCACCTAGTGGTCCCACAGAGAAAAAGCTTGAAAGATTCCAGTCATGAAAACCCTGTGGGGTCATAGAAGAAGCACACCAGCCTGTGTGATCATGAGCAGCCAAAGGGATCAGTTATCAGGAATCAAAAAACAAAGAAATCATATCATTGTGTGCTCACCTCCATGATATGATCGCTGAAGAGAAATAGGTACATAAACAAATGTGGTGAAGAAAGCTGATGGTGCCCAGCTATCAAAAGATAAAATGTCTGGGGTCTTAAATGCTTGAAGGTAAACAAGCAGCCATCTAGCTCAAAAGCAACAAAACCCACATGGAAGAAGCGCACCAGCCTGTGTGATCACAAGGTGTCGAAGGGATCAGGTATCAGGCATCAAATCACAAAAATCATATCATTGTGAATGAGGGGGGGAGTGCGGGGTAGAGACCCAAAGCCCGTTTAGAGACCACTAGAGATCCCCTTGCAGAGGGGTCTCGGGGAGGAGACGAGCTAGACAGGGTGCGATGTAGCAACAATGAAAAATGCAACTTTCCTCTTGTTCCTAAATGCTTCCTCTGCCCCCCACTATCATGATCTGAATTCTACCTTGCAAGTCTGACTTGACCAGAGGGTGTACACTGGTACAGATAGGAACTGGAAACACAGGGAATCCAGGGCAGATGATCCCTTCAGGACCAGTAGTGTGAGTGGCGATACTGGGAGGGTGGAGGGAGAGTGGGTTGGAAAGGGGGAACCGATTACAAGGATCTACATGTGACCTCCTCCTTGGAGGACGGACAACAGAAAAGTGGGTGAAGGGAGACGTCGGACAGGGCAAGATATGACAAAATAATAATTTATAAATTATCAAGGGTTCATGATGGAGGGGGGAGCAGGGAGGTAGGGGAAAAAAAGAGGACTTGATGCCAGGGGCTTAAGTAGAAAGCAAATATTTTGAGAATGATGAGGGCAATGAATGTATAAATGTGCTTTACACAATTGATGTATGGCTTGTGATAAGAGTTGTATAAGCCCCTAATAAAATGATTTTTTTTTAAAGAATGTTGCTATGAGTCAGATCCTTAAAAAAAAAGAAAGAAAGAAAGAAAACCCTGTGGGGCCATTCTGCTCTGCCACACCTTGGGGTCACATGATCAGAACAGGCCCAACAGCAATGAGGTCTTATATTTTACAGTATTAAAGGAAAGCAAAATCTTAGAGAAAAAGATATGGGAGGTCTCACTTTGTGGATTTGATTTTTTTAACTAACATGGATTATTCCTATTAAAAAAATGTTTACCTTTGAAAACTAATTAGTTGGGTCCCTGAGTTGACTTATGTTACTCTTGTGGGTAATTTAAACTCAAGTAAATGGCCCGTCATATCCTGTAACCTCTTGGTTTAAACAAATCTTAACAAAGAAAAATTCTTTGAGTGACAATTATATGAATAACTCATTCAACTTGAAGATTAAGATTCACTACTCCAAGTGGACTTATTAGCAATGAACTAGACTTGCCAGTTATCTCCAAGTCTCTTGATAGATGTGCTGATGGCTCTTCTCACGGAAGACCGTCACCCATAGGGTGCCTGCCTCCACCTGGTGAGTCCTGCACATCCTCTGGGTGCTTCTAGCCCTGGTGCTTTGCTCCTCTGCGGTCTGAAGCGATCCCGTCTTGGCTGTGCCTACGGATGCCTTTGTGATGCAGTTGTCTTGTGCTGTAGTGTGTGTTAGTGTCACAGTAGCAGGTCTTAAAACAATACTCAAGGCACGATTTCATGAGGTGCCCTGGAAAGGGATGTTTCTCGTTAGCAATAGCCTTCATTCGTCCACACTTGCCTTGCGTGTCTGTCATCTCTCGTCTCAAAGGTTGGCATTTGGTTCATTATTTGCCGTGATGTCTTGACAAGAATGTCTAAGACAGTGCCTTTGATCTGGGGAACAGAGAGTCAAAAAACAAGGCGGGCAGGCAGGCAGGCAGGCGGGCAGGCAGGCAACAGCAGCCGGGTGGCCGAGGCAGGGTTTCTTCACTTGGTCCTTTTCTGAGAATGCACGCTCACATTAGTCAGTTCCTCAGAGTGGCAGTCGGGACCCGAGAGCACAGGTGTTCAGATGGCACAGATGGGCACAGATGTTCCTCATTACCTGGGGCAGGTTGGAGGCGGCAGCGACACCCCGGACGCTACCTCAGCTACAGAGCGTCCGTTCAGAATTCTGCTTCCAGTGTAGCCTGCCTGCCCCCTCTCGCAGGGTATACAGGAGAGAGGAGGCCCGTCCTGAGGGCAAGCAAGCTGTGGCGAGACAACGTGGGAGCAAAAGCGGTACCTCGAGGAGGGAAGTCGTTTCACACATCAGGCACATCCTGTGTGTGCTGCTCGGGAAGGGTTGAGGTTTCTGTCCTGGTGTGGTGCCGACATTCACCGTGAGCCCCCATGATCCAGCCCCCTGTGGGCCCAAGGATGGCACCCGTGTCAGGGTCCCCCTGGTTTGGTGTGATCATAGGCCCTTAGCCAGCTAGGTCGGTGCACCCTGAACCAGTCTGGGCTCTGCCCCAGGGGGCTCACTGTGCCCCCAGTGCGTCCCTTCCTGAGTTTCTGGGGCGTGAGGGCCTGTGAGGCTTATCTCCAGGTGACTGGTCTCCTTTTTTGGGCAAAATCCTGCCTTTGGCAACTCTCTTCCCAAACACCCTTCCAAATATGCCAGCTATCCCTGCCTTCTGTGCGGCTTGTTTCCCATCTCTGGGTTGTTTTGAATGCATTAAATCACTTGCTGAAATTCAGCCCTGTGTTGCTCACTAATTGACTGGTCCCTGAGTGGGGATCCGGGGAACACGTTGTGCCGCAGCTCTTCCGCAGCCAGGTCCCAGAAGCCCTTGTGTGCGTTAGGGGCTGGCAGCCGGGATGCTCTGCAGCCAGGCAGTAGCCAGCG